TCAAGTTTGAGCGTGCTTGATGGTGAATATCATCCATCCTTTCAGATAACACTTTCACGAACTCTGGCACATTTTCAGGCAACTCTTCATAAGGTGGGCGTCCTGATAACAGATCCTCTGGCAACCGAAGTTCCTGAACAAACATCAATTTTGCTGGAGTGTATCCAGTGGCTTCATGCTCTGTTGTTCTATAGGCCATCAACAGTGGAGGGAGTAAGACATCCCAGTCATCTTGGCAGCTATTACAAAACTTTGCCATTCCTGTCCCAGTGTCCAGTTGTACTTTTCTACCATCCCATCAGACTGTGGGTGAAGTGGCATTGTTCTGGTCTTTCGTATGCCAAACAACTTTCAGCATTCATGGAACACAGCTGATTCAAAGTTACGGCCTTGATCTGAATGCAGTTCGTATGGCATACCAAATCTGGAGAAGAAATCACTAATAGCCGAAGCTACAGTTGTAGCTTCCCGATTTGGTATTGCATATGCCTCAGACCACTTGGTGAAATAATCCTTCACCACACAAATGTACACGTTTCAAGCATGAGTTCAGGGCAAAAAACCAGCAATGTCAATGGCTACTCTTTCCATTGGTGCGCCAACTTGATATAACTTCATTGGAGCACGTCTTTTATGCTTGGGTCCCCTTTTAGCACAATATGTACTGCATGTCCTGCACCATTCTTCCACATCTTGCCTCGTAACTATCCAGTAAAATCTCTGTCGTAGGTGACTCAATGTCTTCTTAACTCCGAGATGTCCTCCTGTTAAACTATCATGGGATTGATGCAGCACAACTTCCCGTAACATTCTCTAACCTTTGCCAGGTCGTCACTTTCCCATCTGCAGTTTCTCATCTCTGAAGAAGAGTACCATCTTCAAGCTTCAACTGGTCCCATTGTGCCCAATAGTTCTTTGTCACAGGGCTTAAGCTAGACACCTTCTCCCAAGCAGGACGCAAAACACTTGCTGGTAAAAAATCAATTACTGGCTTCAAATCTTAGTCTTCCTCCTGCTCTGCTTTAATATTTATACCTGGTTCAACTTCACCATCATCAACTCCTTCAGTCATTTTGACTTCAGCTTGATGACATCTGGTTAGCTTAACCTCTCTTTTGC